TGCAGAAGGGACAAGAACTCAGAGACAGTAAACGATGAGCAGGTAGCCCAGGTTTGCACTGGTAATGATGGTTAGCAGTGTTTAGAGGAAGCAAGGTCGCACAAGAAGAACACAGAACATGCTTAGGGCTATGAAAACATTCTGCACAGCATTCCGATAGTAGATACACAGCAGCACACACTTGTAAAAAGCACCTAGCATGCATTACACCGAGGCTGGACACTAAGGTAAACTGTGAGTTTGGGGTAATAACTGTCAACAGAGCCTCATGACTCTTCACAAATGCAGCATTATGTTGTGGGATGTTGATAATGAGAGAGGGCCACGTGTCCTCCCAGAGAGCGTGTGGGAACTCTGTGTACTCTCAATCTTGTCTGAAACTCAGACCACTATAAAATACACTCAGTAATTTAAAATATGCACAATCACATCAATGATCTCAACAAATAAAGGAAATCAGAGTCACAAACTGTATGACTCCATTTACAATCTCCAACTTACAACAGTTCAACTTGATACTTTTTTTTAACTTTACAAAGACATGAAAGTGATTCTGTAGAAATAATACTTCAAGTTTTGAATTTTAATCCCTTCCAGAGCTAGTGGTATGCAGCTTCTCTCTGGAGAGGCTCGCCCCACACCATCCCCACCCCAGTTGTCAACGATAATCACAAGACAAACAGGCAGGGCATGTGCTGCCACAGGACGGTGTTAGGCTAGGCTAGCTATCTGGAGAAAATTACCCAATGATACTTTCAACATACACTGTACAACAGGTTTAACAAGGAGTTATGAGTCAAGGAGCCACCGTATTATGAAACTTTGAAAGCAAATTTCATCAATAGTAATAACAAATACATAACATTTGTCTAGAGCCATGGGAGAGAGCGACTGATGGGGAAGAGGAAATTTGGAGTGGATAGAAACATCTTGTGTTTTTATGATAGCATAAATATATACATTTTGTTCAAATTCATTAAACTATATATTTAATATGGTGCATTTTATTATACAAACTATATCTCAACAAAATTGATCATAAACAGCTGTGATTTTGTTACGATATAATGGTTATCTATGGGAAATATTCTGTAGGGGCATGGGGGAATGGCTGTCAGTACTTTTGGGTATCAGTACAGATGGGTATCTCAGGCCCTAGGTCATTGTTTGATTTTGTGGGCTTGGGGGCTGGGAGATACATAGGATCACATCCAGGCCTTGTACATGCTGGGAGAGCCCTCTACCAGCTACAAGCCAACCTAACTTTTCTTTTTTGTTATTTTGTTGTTTTGGTTTTGCTTTTTGCTTTTTCAAGACAGAGTCTTATGATATAGCTCTGGCTGTCCTAGAATTTACTATGTAGAACAGGCTGGCCTCAAACTCACAGAGATCTGACTGTCTATCCTCCCAATTGCTGGGATTAAAGGCATGTGTCACTACACCTGGATTTCTAACTTTTCAAAGACAGATAGTAAACAGTCAGATTTCCCTATATGTATAAAATCTTTAGAATAATAATGTTAATATTTCCAAGGAAGCAGGAAATAGAAAATATGACCTGTTTTTCAGCAGCAGATGAAAAGGCAAAATAAATATTGGGATTTGGAAAAATCTTGTCATGTTGCAAAATCATATCCTCTACAATAAAGTGCTGTGGGATGGTCTGTATGTCAAATGTGTTGCTCTGATTGGTCAATAAATAAAACACTGATTGGCCAGTAGCCAGGCAGGAAGTATAGGCGTGACTAACAGAGGAGAATTGTGAGAACAGGAAGGCGGAGGGAGACACTGCCAGCCGCTGCCATGACAAGCAGCATGTGAAGATGCCGGTAAGCCACGAGCCACGTGGCAAGGTATAGATTTATAGAAATGGGTTAATTTAAGATATAAGAACAGTTAGCAAGAAGCCTGCCACGGCCATATTCTGTGTTTACTTGGTTGGGTCTGAGCGGCTGTGGGACTGGCGGGTGACAGAGATTTGTCCTGACTGTGGGCCAGGCAGGAAAACTCTAGCTACAATAAAGGATCCATGTATAGGAGATTTGCTAAACCATAACCACTCCTTTTATTAAGATATGATTTAAATTCAATTGATGTGATTGGGATAAATTGCTAGAATAGGTCATGGATTAAGGATCGGTGATGAATTTTGAAAACATACCTTTGTCCCATTTCAAACAAATATTAGCTTGTGAGATTACTCTAAAATTTCTTCCTGTATTCTCATCGACATACTTCCCGAGACTGTTTTCTTTGTTACAATGCTTTTAAATGAAAATATGAGAGCAGATTAGCTAAATTCTCCAACTAGTGTTGACGCCAATTCAACACAGACTAAACAAATAAAGCAAATTGGTTGGTCACAATAAAGACTTTGAAAATAAACATATTAATACAAAAGTATTTACAAAATGTGTGTACACAGCACAGTAAATATATAGTTTATGGTTCAGTAAGATATCACAGAGGATAAAATTACTAGCCAAGCAAGTCTGCAGACCTCAGTTCAATTTCCAGAACTCATGTAAAAACCAGATGTAATGCTCCACATCTGTAATCCCACATTCCTATTTTGAGATGAGAGGTGCAGACAGGAGACTCACACAGAAGCTCATGAGCCAGACAGTCTGAGATACACAGCACAGCAGCAGAAATAGCCAGAGACCAGGCCTGAAAACAAGTGAAAGGCAAGAACCACCCATCATCTAACCAACTGTCCACTGACTGTCATACAATCATCATGTACTATGGAATAATCCTACCTTACACTGTGTGAATACATGTCACCATGATTGGTTTAATAAATAAGCTGACTGGCCAATAGCTGGACAGAATAAAGTTAGGCAGGAAAGCCAAACTGAGAATGATGGGATGAGTGAGGAAGGGCAAAGTCTGGAGTTGCCAGACAGATGAAGAGGGAGCAGGAGATGATCATGCTGTGTTGAAAGAAGGTACTACCATGTGGCAGAGTGTAAATAAGGAATACGGGTTAATTTAAATGTAAGAGTTAGCTAGTAATAAGCCTGAGCTATTGACTGAGCATTTACAATTAATATAAGCCTCTGTATGGTAATTTGGGAACGGGTGGGCAGGACAGAAACATCCGAGTACAATCATAACATGCACAAGGATACGCACTCACACACGCCTGTGCACACACACATGCACATCTTTTTTAAAACATACATATTTCTACTCCATAGGTTTTGTGACACGTGAGAATCACAGTGATTCTCCTGTTAATCACCTATGTACATACTTTCAATAAGCATCAATAAGTGTATCATTTTTGTAATTTATGCCTTTTTCTACTCTATCCTTCTTCTACAAAGAAAATCTTTTCATTGTTCTGTTTGTATTTGAACAATGGCAGACATATAGACCAACAAAACAGAATACAGAGCCCCCAGATAAACTTGGACATACATGGTCAAATGAGTTTTTGCAAGGGTGCTACAACAATACAGTGGGAAGTGATACTCTTGTCAACAAACATTGCTGGGGAAACTGAATATCCATAAGCTAGAGGCTGAAACTGGAGCTTTGTCCCACACTGAGCACACACACACAAAAATCATCTTAGAATGGATTAAAGGTCTAACTAATGAGACCGGAAACTAAAACTCCTGGAAGAAACCTAGGGTATAATCTTTACCATGTTGGTCCTGGCGACCATTCCTCAGCTGTGACAACAACAAAAGCACAAACAGCAAAGGTCCACCCAGGGTGGGGCATGTGGCTCCCAGGCAGAGTGTTCATCTAGCACACCCAAGGCTGTGGGTTCAATCCTCAGCGCCAGGAAAAAACAAAAACTGACAAGTGTTCCGATTGTTTATTAAGCACTAATTTTTTAAAAAGTACAGGCTGTTCGACTGATTATAGGAAAAAATGGGCTTATGTTTGTCTGCCATTTTATTCTTTCATAAAACAATATTTATTATATTTTTAAAGAATGATTGTATTTTTTATCTATTTTAGACATAGTTATGATTAGAATTTTAAGTGAGTCCTGCCAGTTCGAAGACTTCTTTTGAGCTTACCACACAGAGGTCCCAAAGGTGCTCTTCCCTACACTTCCCTTCCCTTTAATCCTGAACATTTGCTGTTGTTTCCTTGGCCAGCCGGAAAACCCACATGGAAGAATTCTAAAACGCACTTAAGAAAAGGCTAGCTGGCAAACCAGCCCCTGCTGTTCGGACTGTGCTGCCACCCTGTGGCCATTTTCTACGAACCCAAACTAGAAGATCCATCTTTTGCCCCCTACTCCCACTCCCTCCCGAGACAAGGTCTCATGTAGCCCAGGTTGGCCTAGAACTCCCTACATAGCCAATGCTAGCCCTGAACTCCTCCTGATCCTCTTGCCTTTGATTCCTAGTGCTGGGATTACAGGCCTGCTCCCTTCCTGCGCTCTCCTGTCTTCCCGTGCTCTCCTGTCTTCCCATGCTCTCCTGTCTTCCCGCGCTCTCCTATTTCCCTTTCCTTCAGGGCCAGCGCTTTACCTTTCTTTCTTCCCCATCAGATTACCTGGAGAACTCCCCAGGACCTGCCGCCCTCTGCCCCTCCTCACTTCAGGCTTGCCTTTTAAATTCGGGTCCTGCTTGCAGGTGACTTACTGCTGCTACATATATCTGAGCGTTGACAGTGTCAACCAAGCTGCAACGTAGAACGGATTATGTCATTAATTAGGCACAGTGTGCTCAAATAAAAGTTAATAACACAAGCAATAAAATATAAATTACTTTACTTCTGTCACCCAAAAAGAGCAATACTTCCTATGCAGCCAGGCTTTAGCAACCACAGCCATCTTGGCTACATCCCAAATCAGGTTGCCAGATCACTGAGTGATGTACTCAACTGAGTAAAGGTCTTTGTAAATGTAGATTTTATAATCTTCATTCTGATGGCTTTTTTTTTTTTTTTTTTGGTTTTTCGAGACAGGGTTTCTCTGTGTAGCTTTGCGCCTTTCCTGGATCTCGCTCTGTAGACCAGGCTGGCCTCGAACTCACAAAGATCCACCTGCCTCTGCCTCTGAGTGCTGGGATTAAAGGCGTGTGCCAACACCGCCGCCGAAGGCATTTTTATGTGGATAATACACACAGTTCATCAGGATGAAGACGAGACATGGCAGATGGGCTAAGATAGAATCTTCTCCTTTCGGGTAGGTGTCCACTGGACATCGGAAGCAGAGGCAGGAGAATCACCAGAAACTTACAGGTCAGCAAGCCTAGTGACAGCAACAGTGAACAAGTGGGGACCTGTCTCAAGGCAGACGGCCAGGACCCACCCCCAAGCTCGTCCTCTGATCTCCACACAGGTGCCACGGCATGTGAACACCCACACTCCTGCAGGGAAGGCTCAGAGGGGGAGGGGAGAGGACACCTTTGCAGGAAGAACGGAACTGGAGGATAGAATGTTAAATAAGTCACACAAGAGTCAAATATTATGTTTCCACACGTTAAGGTTTAAAAGTTGATGTCATAGAAGACTGTAAAATCGGAGTTCCCAAAGTCTGGGGAGTGCAAGAAAAGGAGTATGTGAGGGGTTGACAAAGGACAGGGGTACAAGTACATGAAAGAACCAACTCCAATGTTCTATAGCACAGTACAATTGACCATGGTTGGCGGCAATTAATTGTGTGCTGCAAAATTGTGTGGGGATTTGAATTTCCCAACACAAGGAAATAATAAAGACTTGTAGTGATGGTTATACCAATTAGCCTGATCATTACACATACGGATGTTCCACTGTTGGGTGATAATTTGAATTTTGATATATATTTTTAATATAATTGAACTTCCTAAAACCACCCCAATACACGACTGGGTGGTATTACGAGGCTCATGTTTCCTGCTTCTTCTGGTTTAACTCTCTTTAGGACTTGATTTCTCGAGTATCCAACCCAGCACTGAAGGTGCATGACACACTGAGGTGACCGATCACACAGAGATCATGGGGCTTGTCACCTCTTTTCCTACCTTGACTGGAGCCTCTTACACACCTGATACCTTTTTATTACATAAGCATCCCAACAGCTTTCTCAAATTACCACTCGTTAAAGTAATTTTTTTGAGATAAGGTCTTACTCCATAGTCCTGCCTAGCCTGGAACTCGCTACAAAGCTGACCCCCAATTCGTAGAAATCTGCCAGATTCACCCCGCTCTCCAAGTTCTGGATTAAAGGCATATACCACCACACACAGGTTTCTTAAAGTACTATTGTACAGTGGGGTATCATTTACTAGAGTTAAGTAGAAGGTGAGCTATGAGAATCCACTTCCAGTCATTTGTAAACTCATTCAGTGAGATGCTGCTCCTAACACAAAAGCAGAAACAAGAAGGGCAAAAAGTGAGGTAGGATTGGGTGTGACAGCACACGTGACAAGGACACCAGGCAGGGAGGTGACTGGACAGCACTAGCTGAGGACTGAGGAGTGCACTGGAGACCCCCAGAAAGCACAGACCCCAAGATAACGTATCCAGCTCCAAGGATCCCCCTGGCTGGGAGAAGGCTGCTGGCAGTGGCCACCAAAGTCTGTCAACGGAAGCAAGTCACAAATGACACAAATACCAGAGGCAGAAGGGGCTTCTAGGGGCTCGCTCTCCCTGAGGACTTAGTACCTATGCTTAAAAGCTTAGCAGTAGCCAATAGAAATACACAGAGAAGGATCACTCACTCACTCAAGTGGCCTGAGGAGGAACAAGGGGGAAAAGAGCACAATGGATCACAACTAGCAGTATCCTAGTGTCTGAGAGAGGGTGAGGGGGTAAACAGAGGCCAGGCAGAAGTAAAGAAGGGTGAAGAGAGAAAGGGCCACTGCTGCGCCAGAAGCAAAGCTTGTCTTTAAATGAAGGGAGCCACACATACAACAGCAAGAGTTAAGAGTTTCCCAGGGAACTTCTTAGAGAACGGAAAGTGCTAGCACTTTCCAAAACTCATTTAGACAGGCTCAAGAACTCCCCTTTGGGGGCTGGAGAGATGGCTTAGCGGTCAAGAGCACTTGCTGCTCTTGCAGAGGACCTAGGTCCAGTTCCCAGCATCCATCTGCTGGCTCACAATGGTGTGTAACTCCAGTTCCAGGAGTTCAAACTCACCCTTCTGGCTCCCTCAGATACTGCGTGTACATGGTACACATACAAACAAGCAAAATTCTCATACATATAAAATAAATCTTTTTTTAATGTTACAAAAGAAAAGGCTCCCTTTGTGGAGTATGGGTCCCTTTGTCCAAACTGGATGTCTTTCCAAAGTCAAGTCAGCTTAATGCCAGAGAAAGGCAGACCTCCCAAGGAGTGGACCCGAGTGCCTGCACAGACAAAAAAAAAACCCCAAATCTTGTTCATGAAGTGAACCCCGAATCTATTCTAGATGTAAGAGAAGGGGCTGAGAAGAGGACCTTAGATTTTATTCTTGCAGTCACCGGGAGAAAAAAATTCAACACGTCCACTTAAACAGTTAGCTCTCACTCTTTCATCCAGACTGGAATAAGTAAGCAGTCATGTATATTTTCATCTTCGGAACAGGTGGTTTGATATGCAAATAAAGTAATAAGTGTCAGAGCCGTATCCTAGCAGTAGCTACTTTCCAAACGTTACCATGGCACCAATTCAACAGTGTTCTTAGAGGCAGCCACACCTCAGCAAGGACAAACTTGGGCCAGAAAAATTAAAAGAACTAATAGAAACAGCAAGAGTCCTGACATGGTACCAGAGGAGACTCTTTATGCCCTCTGAATCTACATGAAACAGGGCATGGGACTTCAAGAAGGAAACAAAGAAGACCAGCGCCTCTAACACCTGGAGTGTGATCCAAGCCTGGAGACAAAACGGTGGTAATTATAACTGCTAACATTTGTTTTTAGCTCCGAGCAGATTGTGCACAGATTGGGAAGGGCAAACTCCAATCTCCAATTACTCCAGTGCGAACTGTGTCTTAGCAGCGCTCGCTAGATCATAGCTGGCTGAAAGGAGAGCAGACTGTCCTCACAGTGTGGTTCGTTTATTAAACCGAGGAAGTCTGTCCTCCCATGGCCACAGTCCAGGGTCACTCGCCACTGGCTGAGAGAGAAAGAATCCTCCAGCAGGCTGGGCTCCCCACATCTCTCCTGCTTGCTACCAGCAAATCTGCTCTTCAGAGGGCAACATACATGTCCCAAGCACAGATAAAGCAGTGCAGGGTGGGGGTACCAAGCAGGGGTGACACTAGTAGCCAGGGACACAAGTTCAAACCCACTTAGCTTGTGAGCCAGTCAAGGCTACTGAGGAGACAGGTAACAAAAATTATTGACAGAAGTAGTCTATAATCAATAACAAATTCATACAATAAACCTTGAGTTCTAGAAAAAGCTTAAAGGAAATGACTCTCTTCCCTTCGGGCTGCCGAAAGGACAGAGAGCTGTCACTGAGAAGTCATTAACAAGAATGAGACTCCAGAGTGTCCTCGTTTATACCAAAGTCAATGGTCACCAAGATGTCCTCCAGACAGTAATGCACTGTGTCTGACTAAGGCTGGAACACAGGCAGGCGAGGGGTAGAAATAACTGTGTTTGGGAAAGTACTCAGGGGTTCCATGTTGCTGCCTCTATTCTAAAAAACTAAAGACCTTAGCCAGGCGGTGGTGGCGCACGCCTTTAATCCCAGCACTTGAAGGCAGAGGCAGGTGGATCTCTGTGAGTTTGAGGCCAGCCTGGTCTACAGAGTGAGTTCCAGGACAGCCAGGACTGTTACACAGAGAAATTCTGTCTCAAGAAAACAACAACAAAAAGACTAAAGACCTCCTGCTTTCCTAACAGCAGTTATAGGTTGCTGTACACTTACTTCCTCACACCAGTTTAAAAATAAGAATGAATGCAGAAAGGGCCTTCTTGGTATTTTTCTGTATCATTTATGGAACAAAACACTGATACATAAAGGAGAAAAAATTGTCTGTATCAGTTTACCTTCCAATTGTTGATGGTATCACTATTCTTTCCAGTCTGTTCTTTTTAAGTATGTGTGTGTGTGTGTGTGTGTGTGTGTGTGTGTGTGTGTGTGTGTGTGTGTGTGTGCCAGTTCATTCTGTGTGGAATGTGGTGGGGTGTGTACACATCTGTGTGTACAAGAGTGTGGAGGCCCGAGGCTGACTCTAGTGCCTTCCTCAATTGCTCTCCACCTTCATTTTTGAGGACAGGCTCTCTCGCTGAACCAGGAGCCCATCATTTTGGAAGTATGGCTAGCCAGCTTGCTCCAGGATTCTCTCGTCTCCCTCAGGCTGCAGAATTACAAACGGGCTCCCATGCTTTTATATGGGTTCTGGAGGTCCAGATTTCCTGGTCCTCTCACTTGCCCAGCAAGCACTTTACCCAACCTGAGCCATCTCCCCAGAGGCCCTGCTAATCTTTCTGACACATGTCTGTTATACATACCACAAAACAATGGGGTTTTTTCCCCATTTGTCCTGTGGCACAGCCTTTTTCTCTGGTGGGCTGGAATTGTAATTGCAGTAGTGAACTGGATGTCACTCAGTAGTGACCCACACTAAAGGCACAATACTTAAGTGTACAAATTTAGGCTGTCTTAACAAGTGTTGTTAGCAGACTGAAGAGTTTGACTGGGAAGTTCAGGGAGGACTGATGTGCAGGATTAGCAGGAAATAGTCTTAGATTCCAAGAGATCAGTTCTTTGCCACAGGTTAGAACCAGCTTCCCAGAGCAAAGCTATTCCAAGGACTAGGAAATGTTAAACGGCAGGAATTCTGCTGCATCAGGAAAATGTAGTCCGGGAATTCTGCTGCATCAGGAAAATGTAGTCCTAAGGAGGAAGCTGAAACAAACATCCAATCCTGTGAATTAAAGTAACTTCAGAGATGAACAAAAAGCTACAATGTAGGCCAGGTGTGGCACACACCTTTTTAATGCCCACACTCAGGAAGCAAGTGGACCTCTGCAAGTTCAAAGCCAGCCTAGTCCATACAGCAGGTTCCAGGCCAGCCAGAGCTACATAGTGAGACCTGGTCAAAACAAACAAACAAACAAACAAAAACTACAATCTAAAGTCTGTGGTGCCAGAGTTACTGAAGGGACGTTAGCCTTTGGATAATGGTAGCATAACAAAGCCATACTTTACCCTCAGCTAGCCTGAGGCTTTGAAAACATTTTTCTCAGGACAAAATTCTCATACAAAATCCACAGGTTTTGTCTGATCAAATAAAGCAGTGTCTGAGCTTATCTGAACAGTGGGTAAAGCCCTAGGAAAGCCTGAGAACGTAAGTTTGGATCCCTAAGACTTATGTATAAAGTCAGCCATGGAGGAGCACACCCGTGAGCCACAGCTTGGCAGGAGGCAAAGGCAGTCAGATCCCTGGGGCTTTGGGCTAGCCAGCCAGCCCAGCAGAAGGTGTAGGAACTGCAAGCTCTAGATGCAGGGAGGAGCCACTGTCTCAAAGAAATATGATTAAGATCAATAAAGAAAAATACATGGAGTCAATCTCTGGCCTCCACAGGAGCAAGTGCTGTTGAATGCACACCCACACACATGTACACACATATAGCACACAGAGAGAAAAGAAAATAAACCAAGAAGATAGGGTGTTAAAATGTTTCCAAATGAGACACAATAATAATAAATAGCTGAGCTGTGAAGCCATTAAAGCAAATGCATTTTTCATTTTTCAAAGTCTAAGTGAAAAACGTATTTTGATTGAAATGATGTGTTTACTGTATTTTCTGCTTTACCTGTTTTTCTGTCTGAGCAGAGTTATATGTAAACTACAAAACCATAAACACTAAGCCTCATCTGTGGTGCATGTCTGTATCTCTACCACTCAGGAACTCAGGAGGCTGAGGCAAGAGGGTTACAAATTCAAGGCTATCCTGGGCCACATACCAAGTTCAAGACCAACAGGGACCACTTAATGATACTCTGCATCAATTTTTTTTAAAGTGGGGTCTGGAATGATGGTGAATGCCTATAATCACAGTATCCGGGGAAGCAGAGACAGGGGATCAGGAGTTCAAGGCCATTCTTAGCTACAATCAATTTCAAGGCCAGCCTGGGCTACAGGAGATTTTTGTCTCAAATCTTTATCCCCCATAGAACCAAAATCTGAACAAAGGTTGGGTATAGCTCAATGGTAGCACTTGCCCAGTAACATGACCAATCAATACTAGAAAAACCGATCAATCAATAAATACTAGAAAAAGTATGAGGACTATTAAATCATGCTTAATGAAAAAGGCTTTTCTGAATACAAACATTAATCACAAAGCAAAGACTCGCCACATAAAAATGTAGAAGTTGATGCAATTAAATAGCAGCATTGGGGGAATGCTCACAGTATATCATATGCTTGCATGAAAATGGCCTTATGTAACCCTGTGTAATAAAATGGAAAATAACACAAACATAATCAAAAGCCTCTATAAACCAAATTATTTGTATATATGTAAATATATATACATATATATATGTATGTATATATATATATATATACATATATATGTATGTATATATATATATATATATATATATTTGTTTTCCAACACAGGGTTTCTCTGTGTAGTCCTGGCTATCCTGGAACTCACTCTGTAGACCAGGCTGGCCTTAGACAGAGATCTGCCTGCCCCCTCTAAAATATTTTTAAAGATTTATTTGTTTTTATTTGGTATGTACAAGTGTATGTATGTGTACCACATGTGTACCTGGTGCCCAAAGAGGGCATCAAACACCCTGGACCTGGAGTTACAGTTGTGAGCCACCACATGGGTGCTAGGAACCAATCGGTCCTAGGTACTCTGGAAGAGCAGTAAGTACTCTTAACCACTGAGCAATCTGCATAAATGACGGACATAAGATTGCTGATGCATAAAGAGCTCTTGCAAATCAATAAGAAAAATGTCAGGCCGGGTGGTGGTGGTGGCGGCGGCGGCGGCGGCGGCGGCGGCGGCGGCGGCGGCGGCGGCGGCGGCGGAGGCGGCGGCGGCGGCGGAGGCGGCGCACGCCTTTAATCCCAGCACTCTGGAGGCAGAGCCAGGAGGATCTTTGTGAGTTCGAGGCCAGCCTGGTCTACAGAGCGAGATCCAGGACAGGCACCAAAACCTACACAGAGAAACCCTGTTTGAAAAAAACCAAAAAAAAAAAAGAAAGAAAGAAAAAGAAAAAGAAAAACATCAGGTTTAAAAGAAGATAATGGATCAAGAACAGTTCATGGAAAAATAAGTGCTATCGACCAATAAGCAAGTGAGAAACATTCAGGCTTGCTAGGGATAGAAAAGGTATACATCACAACAACCAAATGATTCCAGTGCACACTTCTCAAATCATTAAAGTGATAATGACCACTGGGACTCAATAAAACTAACTAGCCTTTCTAGGAAACAAACTACAAAGTGAGCCTAATACTATGACTTCATAATAATCTACATTAAATGAAGAGAATCAGACATAGAAATAATTTACTCACCAAATAGTCGTCAAGATGCTGTTAATGTTTAAAAGAGGCAAAAAACTTGAATTTATAGTTCTATAGTAATTCTAAGCAACCATGAATAATACTTTCTGAAGTAATTTTAATAACAGGAAAATTCCATGATGCACTCCAAGTGAAATAAGGGTATAAAACATGGCCTGTGGAATACAGTACATACAGAGAGAGACTGGAAGAACAGACCTATAGTCAGTAAATGTAATATAAGTAGCACAAGCTGGTGAGTTTTCCCTTTTTGTATCGGTACATGCAATTATTCTCCACAAAAAACGCATGGTGCTTATACAATAGTTTAAAATGCTTTAACAACTACATCATAACGCCCTAGATAAAATAATAATAATAATAATTTGAGAAATATTTTTAAAAGAATGGCCATTACTGAAGGATCTCAACATTTGGGATTGAACACCAGATTTCCTATATCCTAAAGAAACAGTATGTTGTTTGCATTGTAGTAATCTTGAAACCCCTCGAACAAGGCCCACCAACTGAAAATAAACCCTCAGCTATGAATGACTGCGTGCCCACAAGCCAAACAATACACAACAAACAATACAGAAGTGGTACTTCCAGAAGTCTCTAACCTTGAGCAAACTGACCCCGAGGCAATTCTGAAAAAGAGCATCTTCAGGTTACTGCCAACGGTTTTAAGAAACAGCTCATTCAAAAGGTGAACACACTCAAAACCCGTGTCCCGTATATATGGGCACATCAGCCACCACCACATCCAGATAGAGTAAAGGGAAGAAATCCTGACCAGAACAAAAGCCTGCTTACTTCCTTGGGCTTTCACACATAGGGACGACAAGATGATCTGGGATGTGTACTGTTGCCACCAAGAGCTAATTTTGGTTGAGTCATGTCTCACACACAGTAAAGCAATTGATATTTGTTTGTTTGTTGTTCTTTGGTTGTTGTTTTTTTCCCACACAGGGTTTCTCTGAGTAGCTTTGGAGCCTGTCCTGGCACTCGCTCTGTAGACCAGGCTGGCCTCAAACTCACAGAGATCCAGATATTTATTATATTATGATATTATTCAATCCCAAGACAATCTTATGAGTAGGTACTATGATCATCTCTGCCGACAGGGAAACTGACTCCAGAGGCTAAAGAATCTACCAAAGACCACTAAGCTGGGATGCAGAACAGCCCAGCCTGGAATTTAGGCAGTGTGTTTCTAGAACTTACTGTTAACCCATTTGCTCTACAGAATGGAATCTATGAAACAGGTAAGGTTATATTCTGCATTTCTCTTTAGTCTCCCTCACCACCACCTACCAGAGTCTCAATGAGGAAAAACGAATCTTGAACTCTATAATCTCCTCATATAGCTCACTTTTAGGCTGCAGTGCTTCCATGGCAATTGTGCGGATCACGCTAGCTTCCATACAGGAAACTAGGGCTTGGTAAATGTATGTATGCATTGTCTTCAGTTTTTCCTGCTATCGTTTCATGTCTAATTTTTCCTCCTTGTTTAGATCTGCAGCTAGACGACAATAAAATTAGCAATGGAGCCAATGTATGAGGAGTATCTAACATATGGTGGAACAATTGTCAAACCTTATTACTGGCTAAGCTTCTCTCTAGATTGCATCAACTGCCCTTACCACATTCGGACAGGAGAAGAAGCAAGAGTGCCCTACACAGAATTTCAGCAGATTTTTGGATTCCCATGGTCAACATACCCTCAAACAAAACACCTCACATTTTATGAGCTGAGAAGTTCCTCTGGGAACCTGATACAAAAGGGCCATGCTAGCAACTGCACCGGGAATCACAGGCACCCAGAGTCAATGCTCTTTGAGAGTAATGGTTACCTTGACTCAGCCATCTCTCATAACAGCAACATTAGACATATCATTCTGTATTCCAACCACTCCCCCTGTAATGAGGATAACCACTGCTGCATCAACAAAATGTACAATTTCCTGATGATGTATCCAGGGGTCACTCTTAATGTTTTCTTTTCTCAGCTCTATCATACTGAGAACCAATTTCCTACCTCAGCATGGAACCGTGAGGCTCTTCGGAACTTGGCTGGCTTATGGCCCCAGGTCACTTTGAGTCCAATAAGTGGTGATATTTGGCATTCTATTCTCGAAAATTTTGTTAGTGGTGTCTGGGGATCAACTGTTCTGCGGCCCTTTATAGCTGGGAGGATAATGGCTGACAGGTACAATGCTTATGAAATAAACTCCATAACAGGAGTGAAGCCTTATTTTATCGATGTTCTTCAGAGACAGCGCAAAGAGAACCGGAACTTAAAAGTTTGGGCAGCTTTTGAAAACCACCCCTTAAACAAGGCTGACCCTGGACAACCCAACCTGAGTCAGGACCCCAGAACTCCTGTGGTTTTCCTCCTGGTGCCTCACAAAGATCTCCCGCCAATCCAGGGGGGTCAAAACTCCCAGAAACCCAGGAACGTGGTAAGGCACCTGAATATGCCTCCACTGTCATCATTTGAGGGCAAAGACCTCAGAAACCCTCCCTTGGGCAGACCAGTGGAGGAGATGGAAGCCACAAACCGGGCTGGAAGCAGCAAGGAGGCAAATGAAAAGAACAAAAAGAAATGGAAGAAATAAGCTGATCTTATCAAGCCAAACACTTGCCAAAGGATTTAGTAGACCGGCAATAAAAAATTTGGACATTCTCCTTCCTAGGTCTAACTGAGATGGGAATAAATTGATGTAATAAAAGTAAAACCTGATTATTTACTACAGAAGCTACTATAAACAATACTATTTTTAACATAATCCAAAATGTTGGCATAAGTACTTTATGTCTCTTTCTGAAAGAAACTAACAAAATAAATGCTTTTCTAAATTTTTATTTTATTGTTTGTATGTGTGTGATGATTTTGCCTGCATGTATGTCTTGGATCATGTGTATACAGTGCCCTTGGAGGCCAGAAGAGGACATCAGATCCACTGAGACTGGAGTTATAGATGGTGGTAAGCTGCTATGAGAGGGAATTGAACCCAGGTCTTCTGGAAGACAAGCCAGTGCTGTTAACTGCTAGGCCATCTTTCTAGCCCCAAAATAAATGTTTTGAGGCAGAAAAGGAGTGTCTCTACTCTAGCCTACCCACATCACCCTTCCAAAAAGGACAAGGACTAAATAACTTCCTAAACTGGTTTCAGTATAGAAATACACTGTAAAATCAGACAGCACCCCAAGTTACTGGCATCAAGTGCTATCTCGGGGCAAAGCAGTGATTTTCCATTGATTGTTGACTATGGTTAGAAGACTTTGGGGCAGCCCATTTTTTTTTCTAAAGTGATTCAAAATTGTTTTATGTGAGTAAAAGCTCTTCTGCAAATTGATTACATATGGCTACAAAAATTGATTTTTTTTTAAACCTAGCCAACTACTCAGTTTGATCTTTCTGACTCAGAGCTCTCCCTCCTGTGTAGATCATACAGGCAGAATGATAGGTGAGAATCTTCAAAGGCACCCTCCATCAAGTACTATACCAAACTCCACATCACTCCTGATGGCTTCTAAGATTCTTTATTTCCTTATCTCATCAAGATAGCAATTTCCGGGGCTGGAGAGATGGCTCAGAGGTTAAGAGCACTGACTGCTCTTCCAGAGGTCCTGAGTTCAATTCCCAGCAACCACATGGTGGCTCACAACCATCTGTAATGAGATCTGGCGCCCTCTTCTGACCTGTGGTCATACATGCTGTATACATAATAAATAAATAAATCTTTAAAAAAAAAAAAAAAAAGATAGCAATTTCCTATAGAGTACTCTAAATCAATCAAGTTCTCTCCCCTCCCTCTATCCCTCTCTCCTTCCTTCCCTTCCTCTCCCCCTTTCCTTCCTCTCCCTTCCTCCCTCCTTCTCTCTCTTCCCTTTCTCCTGTGACATATAACACAATATCCACTCAAGATGTAGGTAGCACGTTGACTCCATCTCAATAAATTCACCAATCACCGCTCCACAACATCCCTTATCCACTCTGGGCAGGTGCCTGCTTAACCACCTCCATGGGATAGCTTTGGTTGTATGTTACCATTATCCCTCTTCTATTAATACAAGTGTATTTCTTTCCTTTTCCTGACTTCTTCTTTGCATATATATATACATATTCTCTTAAATTCTTCAAAACATACTTCTTTTAAGAATTTTTCCTTGATTAACCCTCTGAGCCACTTAACTGACTTTGCTTATTATAATCCACTTTTGCGGCTTCATGTCTCCCTTGGAAATATGTAAATACATACTATAGAAAAAGTTCGTTCAAATGCAAATTCCTATTACATTTTTGTATATAGAGTCCAAGCTGACTCTATAAAATCTCTATATAAAGTCATGCTACCCTAATAAGGTAATATGCTAATAGTAACATTAAATCCCATAACACTCCATGAAGAGGGAGAAGGAGATAAGAAAGAAAAACTGCCTTAGCAATAGAAATTTAAATTGTGATTAAAATAAACACGAATAAAATCTTTAAAGAAAAATTTCTGTCTTTAGCCTGCAGATTTGAACAAAGTAATTGAATATAATTTTATCATGGGTATACAGTAATTATTATTTAAAGAGATATGTTGAAGTTTATCATTAAATTATGAAATCTTTTGTCCACAAATTGGAATGCTATGTTTGGGGGTAAAAAGACACAAACATAACAAATTTGGCATTTCTGATTATTATGAGAATAAAGCCAGAGCTGAGGGTCCTACTCCATAATACATGTCGAACACGATAAGGCCCTGAATTTGATTCGCCAGCACCTCTTCTGCCAAATGAAAAAGCTAAAACCATTGCCATAAAACTAATCTTCGAAGTGGTGCAGTAGACCGCAACATCCATCAGGTTACAGAGTGTCTGCAATCTATGAACTTGACTTTCCAATGAATTTGGATTTCAATGGTATATAACAAAAGAGGAAATGTTGACAGAACTATAAGACAGTGCCCTTGATCAACATTTTCTTACTAATTAGATAGGCCTGTGTCTTAGTTAGAGTTTTTATTGCTGTGAAGAGACACCATGACCACAGCAACTCTTACAAAGAAAACATTTGATTGAAGTGCCTCCCTTACAGTTTCAGAGGTTCAGTCTGTTATCATCATGGTGGGGAGCACGGTAGTGTGCAGGAGCTGAGAGTCCTACCTCCACCTCCCAAGCACTGAGATTAAGACATGCACCACCATGATCCAGTTGATGGGGTACTCAGTATTGAACTCAGGGCCTTGTGCACGCTAGGCAAGCATTCTCCTAACTGAGCTAGATTCCTGAAGTAGCTCATTTTTAAGGAACTTTTGAGCTCCACCTTCTTCAAGAAAACATAGAGCAAAGCAACTTTTCCAAGGAGAGAGCTCTACACACAGTGCCATGTCTTGCTCACTCACTACACAGTGGGTTCCTGGTCACGTAAGCTGGCCCAGAGATGGAGAGAGAGAGACAAGTTTAGATGATCTGACCCTCTTCAGCAAAATAACAATGGTGATGTTTAAGATTATCACCATTAGCCAGGCATGGTGACTCAAGAGGCAGAGGCAGGTGGAGCTCTGTGAAGTCAAGGCCAGCGGGGTCTACATAGAGAGTTCCAGGATAACCAGGACTATATAGACAGACTCTGTCTAAGAAAAAAAAAATTACATCACTTTCACCACACAATAGGAAATTCCAAATAAATAAAATAGAAGCCGACATATTAAATCAGTGACACAAATCTGAAAAAAGGCATGGGGGTATAATCCAAGAAACCAATAAAGGTGAGTGGAAGGACGCTGCCTTCGATCTGGTTCAGAGTTCGACTCTCAGCTTTGTAGGGCCAACTGCCTATGCAGTCAATACAAAAAGAATGGATCTAGATCAGGGCCTGAAAGATTTACAACGCTCCCAAGACTAACATGTAAAGACAGCTAATAAATTGGTTTCCAGTGGGATTTACATCTGGATATGCACACAAATATTGAAATCACCCAGCTTACACAGTCTTCTCGTGCATATTATAATCAGAAACTTGCTGGATTTGAATGAGGAGTCAAGCAGCTGACTGCATGAGTTAAATGTCTGTGCTGTCCGATTCTGCACTTGTTTGGAGATAGGCATCTGTCATCTGTGGTGAACTAATGAGGTATGTGCAGGAGCTTCTGTCCTCTGAGTGTTTGGGTAGATGCAGCCTGCGAGAGACAACACAGTCTACAGCTGACTCCTGCTGTGTCTAGTATATCGATTTCCTATTGACATCTGTTGATGGTGATGCTGTTTGAGACAAATCCTCACTCTGTGACCCACTGTCCTAGCAGTGGCTCGAACCCAGGTTGGCCTCCAGCTCAAGGCAATCTTCCCACATCAGCCTCCTGAATGTGGGATTACAGGGATGAGGCACCACACCCAGCTTTTTTGATATTCAATATATTTAATCCAGTTACAGTCTAATCCTACTAACCTGACCTGAGAGTAAATCTATTTCTTTACATTTCTGCTACATACCTTGACTTCTTGTGTGTACATATGAGCCTCAGCCTTTAACGAGTAAGCTATCTTGCCAGACCTCTGCTATGCATCTTTTTTGACTCATAGTAATATAGTTTAGCAAAAAGTTTAGTTCATAGAATATAATCCTATTCATTTCATTTTCAAGGCTCTAAGGAAAGTCACATGGTAACTCACACTGATTAATACTATTACTATCCAACATCTACTGTGAGTCGTATGCCAGGTATTTTAAGCACTTATATATTAACTCATTCAATCCCTCCAATAATCCTATGAAGTATGTGTTACTATAATACCCGAAAAGACAGTACCACAGAGAACTTGTAATGGCCTGAGCATAAAATCCTGGTGACCAAGCTGATAGTCAAATCCATGTCTGACTGCAGAGCCCATGTTCTATTCTTCAGCATTTCCCTAATGGTATGTGACATCTGGGAAACCCAGTGGCCATCAGTACCTCCTTGTGACTTCTCAGCAATTCTGCTCAAACTATACTGCCAAGAGCCATCTTCTAGACTCAGGAAGCCAAGTGCCCTGCACAATCTAGGTTGGGAAATCTCAGGTGGTTCTAGATGCCAAACTTTGGCTTTCAACTCCCCCCACTCCCCTCCAACCATCACCACATACCAAATATAGATCCCAGAACTGTCTGATTCTGTAGTGTACCAAATAGGGGATCCAAGGAACTGGAATGTGGACTCGTTTTATTTAAAATTTGTTAAAATTAAAAGCACTTGTTTTGTTTAAAAAAAGGAAAAAATAAAGCAAAGGAAAACTACCATATAAACTCACTTCTTATATACCTCTAAGAACTGAAAGTAAAGACTTGAGGCATTTATGAACCCACATTTACAATAACATATTACCCCAAAGCTATAAGAAAATAAACCAAGTGTCCCTTGACACATGAGTGGGTAAACAAAATGTGATATTTGTTGCATAAAATGGAACCTTGAGGCCAGAGAGATGGCCCAGTTATTAAGAGCACTGGCTGTTCTTACAGAGAACCCAAATTCAATTCCCAGCACCCAAGTGGAGGCTCACAACCATCTGTAACTCCAGTTCCTAGGAATTTGATATTTGTCAGGTGCTGGAAGCAGGAGAAAGTGGGAAGTTATTGTTTAATGGGTCTAGAGGCTCAGTTCTGTAAAATGATGGATGGTGGTTAAGATTGTACAACAGTGTGAATGTGCTTAACACCAAATACCTGTGCATTTCAAGAGTTATGATGGCAAACTGTGAGTGTGTGTGTGGGAGGGAGGTGCACATGTATGTAGGTGTGCTGGTGTGTATATATGTGCCTGTGTGTGCAGGTACACATGGAGGGCCACTGCTCACTCACCTGTGTACAATGCAGGTGGAGCCAGAGGTCAGTCTCAGGTGTCCTTCCCCAATCGCTGTCCACATATATTGTTCTGAATTTTTAAGTTCTGCTTGTTAAAAGACTTTAAGTGTGTGTGTGTGTGTGTGTGTGTGTGTGTGTGTGTGTGTGTGTGTGAGGGCACATGTGTGTGACTGTATGAGAGGTCAAAGGTCTCGGATCTCCTGGAGCTGGAGTTACAGGTAGTTCTGAGCTACCCCACTTAGACCCAAACTCAGGTCCTCTACAAAAGAGATAAGCACTCGACTTCTGAGCCATCTCTCCAGCCCTGCCTCCACTGTGGGATGAGGGGGACAGGCCCTCTCACTGGCCTGTGCTCATGGATCTGGCTAAGCTGGCTGACTCATAAGCCCAGCAATCTGCCCGTCTCCGTCTCCCTAGCACGGGGGGGGGGGGGGGGGGGGGGGGGGGGGGGGGTGGTTTACAAGCACTCTGTTATGTCCAGATCTTTACATGGGTTCTGAGAACTAAACTCAGTTCCTCTTGCTTGCAAGGCAAGCACTTTACGGACTGAGCTCTCTCCCCAGCCTGGAATTTATTACGTATAACAAAAATGTTAGTATTTTTGATAATCAGATTAAAGGAGAAAAGAGTTGGCTTTTAATACTTTATTTACCTAGTTAATAGTAAGAATGTTGGGGGACAAAAGTCTTTCGTCCACAGGTCACTAGGGAAACCAGGAATGTTAAACACACAGGCCCTCTCCTCAATGGAGGAGATAAAATACCTGTTTTCCTGCACAGAAAGTTGGGAGTGGATACTGTTAATTACCTGAAGACCTTTTTGCTCTCTGTGGTAGCAGACCTCACCCAAATCCCCCAGAATGCTTGTCCCAGACTCTTGTCCCAGTTAATGGAACTCTTCCTTAGGGGGATGTCACATGTACTGTATAGCCCGCTGACCTCTATGCCATCTCAGTCAGAGACCACACTAGATCATATATACATATATAGGATGAGATTATGAACACATGTGACTAAAGATGTCCACAGATTCTAGAAGATGTCAAATATTCTGGAGCTGATGGGGCGTGAGATGCCTGATGTGAGAGCTGGGAACCAAATTTGGATCCTCTGCAAAAAACAGTACATACTCTTAACTGCTCAACCATCTCTCCAACCCTAATAACGTATTTTAAAATCCACATATCATCACAAATAGTTGACATCTCATTCACTACAATGCTTAAAAAGCAAGGTTTATCCTTTTGACACTAAGCTGCTTCTCTGGAAGAGTCTTTCTGAGAAGATGGTTCAGTTGATAAAGTGCTTGCTGCCCGAACACGAGGACCTGGATTTGGATCCCCAGAACCCACATAAAAGCTGGGCCTGTAATCCCAGCACCAGGGAGGCAACGACAGGAGAATCCCTGTGACCTACTGTCTAGACAGTCTTGTGGAATTGGTGAGCTTCAGGCTTAATAAAAGACCCTGTCTCAAAAATAAAGTGGAGAGGAATAGAGGAAGCCAGCCAACATTGACCTCTGACTTCCCACATGTACACACATATGCAAGCATCCATATATTCATGTATACATACATACCTAAGAGTACAGATTGATAGTTAAAATCTTTTATGTACGAATATATAAAGGTTCCACAATCAAATCACTAAACTTTCTGCTGTACTTCACTGTATAATCATAAAAGCATGTAAAACTAGAACTAATCACAAAGAAAACATTTAGAATTTTGAGGGGTATGGTTTCAATATAAGTTGATTTGTGTATTAGTAGGAGCATTAAACTACAGCACAGTAGTCCAGAGGTGGTGGTGCACGCCTTTAATCCCAGCACTTGGGAGACAGAGGCAGGCGGATCTTTGTGAGTTTGAGGCCAGCCTGGTCTACAAAAACAAAAAAACAAAAAAACAAAAAAAACTACAGCATAACATACGAAAAACACACTAAAATTTTATACTGTAGTAGTTATGTTGAGAACAACGGTATTAACTTATCATTACCAGAACTGAAATTCATTGACTTTATATTATAGTACAAGCTTGACAGGTTTGATTAACAAAGTCCAACTTTTGTTTTGAGTACTAGTCCTAAAGTATCATGTATACCAAGTAAGTGTAAGCACTCCATCACTGATCCATATCCTTACCTTTAACGGTCATTTTTCGCTTCAGATAATGAAAAGCAATAGCTCTGTGCTCCAGGGCTCAATGAACTGTTTTTTTGTTTTGTTTTGTTTTGTTTTTTTAATATTTAGTGGCAAGAGTTTGTGAGAAAAGAGCACAGAGAAGGTAGAGTACTTGGCTTAAGACATCTAAAAGTGGCCTCATAAGACCACCTCATTAGGTCCTTGGCCTTTTCTTCCTAACATACATGGGAGTGGGGGAGACACGCACACATACACACTTACACCTATACAAGCCACAGTGCACACGTGCATTTTCTAGTTGGTCCTCTCCTGCCACCGTGTGGGTCGCAGTGATCGAACTCAGCTTGTCACAGCAAGGGTCTTCACCAGCTGCACCAGCTCACTGGCCCTGATCCTCGGCTCTTTGCAACATCACAGAAATAAGGAGCTACAGACGCAGCAGTTAATCTCAGGAAATTAAAACTCAGTCTCGTTTAATGTTGAGGACAAGCTAATTATTTGCATAATAAATACATCTTAAACCCAGCAAATCCTTTATATGAGAGGAAAGCATTTCAAAAACCCAAAGAGAATAAAATCACCTAAGATGACTACATATCATAGGTAACAGTAAGAATTTAGCATTTACAAGAACTGTACATTTTCTAATTAGAAGATAAATTAAGAACAGGTTTCTTCAGAGACAAACATTTCCTTTAAATCTTGTAAAGATTTAAATGTTGGCCAATGAGAGGTAAGGAAGTAATTAAAGTATCCATTAAAATACTAATTTTTAACTGTTACTTTGGAATTAATTTGTGAGATCATTACTACCCACTACATCCTAGGCACTTTGTTCACTATGAGGCACTACTTTAAAAAATAAAACAGAAAACAAAACAAACAAACATCAACAACAAAACACTGTTGCAGTTAACACAATCCACACACAGACCGAAAATCAGCAATCAAGATAATTACATCCTTGAACAACTGATTTTTTTTTTTTTTTTAGTTCTCACTGTTCCATTAAGTTGATTCCTACCCCAGGATTCCTCCCCAGTTCTAAAATAAGAGAACAAAAAATTATTCAAGTAAGACAATAGGAAAAAAATCAGACTTGAGCTCAGGGCTGTGTTAGCTCTTAAATCCTTGTTTCCATTTGCTCTCAACAGTGCATCTAGTGTTTAATTTTCTCTTCAAAGAAAATCTCGATTGAAAAGAACAAAAAGTACAGTCAGCTTTAACATCCAAAAGAGTATGCTGTGTAGCGTTTATGGAAGTTACACAAGATTGGAACAGAAAAAAAATATTTAAACAAATCTTTATTCTAAGTTACATAATGCCATCATCATGATAATGATCTTATACTTCAGCATCTGACTTTAAAAACAAGTATTTCTGGCAGGTAGAAATTTTTCCTTTGCTGTCTTAAGACACGAAGAGTTTTTACGAGCTCACAATGTGAATGTTAATCAAGGAAATGTCACTCCTATCGACCAAATGATATACTTAGATGGGGATGCCACATTGCTTCCTCACAAGGAAAAAGAATGGGTTTCACTTACAGTGCTCTCTCTACATGAACACATACACATAAATGTACATGTGTGTATGTCTATATTCAACAAATGTTTGATCCTCAGATCTTTCTCTTTCTTCTGACTGATTCCCTGTTCTCGGTGTGACTCTCAAATTGCATTGCCTTTTATATCTTACTAACTCATCAAGCATGTACTGACAATACCTAATCTCTGGATACCTTATTTTTCATAGGAAAAACAGACACATAAGAAAAACTAGACTCTTCCCTTCAGAATCTTGGGGTCTCTTTCACTGGTGAGATAAAACATGACATATCATCAGGTAATTTATGAAGCCACTTTGGCAAAGCCAATGATACGTTGCACATATGTGCAGAATTTTAGAGTCTTTTTAAAGCATTTCCGCGTATTGAACCCTGGGAACATACTTGTGAAGTCCACATTAGCCCCATTTTAGCAATAAGAAAACCGAGGTTCCAAATTTTAAGCAACGTGCCTCAATCACACAGATTAAGAAAGTCGAGACTTCAGCCACGGTTTCCTGATCCCAAGCCCACTGCTCTTTTCAATACAGCATAGCCAACGAGGAATGGGGTAACTCAACAGGATCGTATCCAACCTTCTGTTATATGTGAAACCAGGTACACCTGCATCCAAGCAGGGCACAGCCAAGCGTCTGAATTAATTTAATTCTGTAAATACCTGTACTACAGCATAATACACAGAACACAGCTATTATTTCTTTAATCTTAGTGCCTCTGCCTCCTCAATAAGAGCTCTGATCTCACAAACGGGGATGTAGAATATAACAAATTGACGGGCTCCCAGGAACCTTACACCATAAATATCAACCTTGAAAGTCCAGTTTCTGTTAATCCTTGCACATATTGTTTTCCCTCAGCCCCGAAAAGCCTCACTCGCCCACCCTCTTCTGGCATTCTTGCTCCAAATAACTACTTATTTTAAGACGTGATGACTGATTCTACAAAATGCTACAAGTTTGCCCCATTTTCGCCACCCCGTCCCCAGCTCCGGCCCAAGCATCTTTCTTCCCACCCTCCGGACTGGAGAGAATACCGAGTTCAGATTCTGCAGGTCCGGCCGCGACGCTGTCACACAGCACTGACAGGTAAGAAGTGACCTCCCGACTCCGTCCTTGGGGACCTCCGGCCGACAGGGCTGCGGGATCCCCAACCCGGGAAGGGGCTCTCAGCTCTGGAACGCAGTAGTCCCCCCGGGGCCGCTGGGTCCGAAGGGAGGGCTCAGATCACTAGTTGTGTGCCGGGCGCCCAGCTGGGCATCACTCCGCCTCATACTCCTGCTGACTGCAGGGGACTGGGTCCTGCAGCCAGTCCATCCCACCGGACGCCCGAGTCCAGTCACCCAGACCTCACACCGGAGCCCAACAACAAGCCTCTGGCCCGGACAGCGGCAGCGGCGGCGGCGGCGGCGGCGGCAGCAGGCCAGGCCACGCGCCCCAGGTGCCCATCGCCTCCCAACCCGAGACCACCCCCCCCCCAGCAAGGCTGGACCGCAGAAAAGCGTTTCTATGGGAACCTCCCGGGTGTCACGTGAGGCTCCCCGCCGGCCAATCGCGTCCCCGCGCCGCCTCAGCCGGCTCTCCGGTCCGCCCGCCGCCCCCGCCTCCTTCGCCGGCCCCGCCCCTTTCCTTGCAGCGGGCCCGCGCGTGCGCCGTGCGTCCCGCGCGCGCGCTCCCCCGGGGAAGGCGGGGGCGGGGCGGGGGCTGAAGGATGGCTGGCCGCTGAGAAGGAAGCCGCGCCGGGGCTGGCGCGCAGGCCCAGAAGCGAGCGAGCCGCGGCTGCCGGCGACGCCCCAGAGCGGAAGAGGGAAGTGAGTCGCGCCGGGCTGGGCTCGCGGAAAGGCAGCGAGAGGCACCGCGGAGGGGAGGCCAGCGTCCGCGTCGCGATCCATCCGGGATGTCGAAGAACACGGTGTCGTCGGCCCGCTTCCGGAAGGTGGACGTGGACGAATATGATGAGAACAAGTTCGTGGACGAGGAGGACGGCGGCGATGGCCAGGCCGGGCCCGACGAGGGCGAGGTGGACTCATGCCTGCGGCAATATCCTTGCTGTCGCGGCGGCCGGGGGCCCGTGGGGACGCGCGTGGCCCGCGGCCGGCTGCGCCTGGCTCGAGGTGGGGATGGAGGGGGACCGGAGCTCCCGGGGCCGGCAGGCCGCCGCCTGCACCCCGCCCGCGGCCGCGCTCGCCAACTTGCGGGCGCCCGGATTCCTCAGGTGCGCCGCCCCAGCGGCCGCGCCCTCGCGGGGGGGACCGGCCGGCGCCCTACTGGGCACCGGAGCTCCAGAAATTCCTGCCTGGTGGGGACACGGGCGTCCCGCTTGCAGTCTGCTTTCCTGTCGAGTGTGTGTGGCTTGCAGAGCGGTGAGATAGTTTGTGGCTAGCCAGGAGGGATGGAGCGGTTCGCAAATTGAGGCCCTCGGTGCATTCAGCCCATGGGCTTTTTCTTCATCATCATCGCTATTGGAGAAAAGGATTTGGCACGCTTGCACATAATTCATTAGCAGGGCGAAGGGAGTTTGCTTCTCCAAAATTCCCAGGTAAAGCCTGGAGCCTTTTACCTGCTAAGGAAAAGCCAATAGAAAAAGGATAGGGGATGCATGTGGAGAATCCCTGGAAATGTTTAAGATGAACCCCAGTGACATATAAAACAGGGGGTGAGTCAGTTCCATAAATCAAAATCGTTATTCTGAAATTGTTTCCTTTCTACTTAAAATGTGGCTGTCAGTTCCTGGTTCCTTGGTTTGCATATCTGAATATTCATAACCGTGAAAATAATTTGCATCGATCTCTTAGAAAAATAGAAATGTTGCAAAAACCCATATTGTAGCTTTAGAAAAAAATCGCATTCATTGTCTGTTCCTACAGCTCTTTCCTCATCAGTTTCCTACTAGGTTATAATGAAATCAATAAGTGAGCAAAAACATTTAGTAACTACAGCATTGAACATACATACGCCATATAGGTTTAACTTTCATTACCACAACTTTCACATCAGTTGCTACTAATTGGATTATTTATTTAAGGACTTGGGCGGTTTTTTTTTAAGTGTTCTTTAGAAAACCATGCAGCCTTGACAGTAGTTTATCGCCGACTAGATAATTTTTATTAGACCTTTTCCATAGAAGTGGTGAGCATTATTCTTAGAAAAAAAAACTTTATGTTGATGGATATATGATATTTTATTAAACTAATGATGTATTCCAGATAATTTCTGGTGGCTCCTACTTCTGTGTCCATTATCAATTGAATCTACTTTTTCATCAGTCCATCTTAAAATATCAAGATACTGTCTCATTGTAACTAGGCGAGACAGCCCTGGTGGGGTACTACAGATGGGGGAACAAGTGGCTCTAGTTTTCCTTTTAGGGAAATGACTGTCTGTTCTGACAATCTGATTGGCCTTCCGTTTCCCATGCTTGCTAACTCACTGGGGCTTTCAGAGACTGATTGAGTAGGTATGGATGGTCCAGGCCAGTTCCGATAACCTGGAGGGAGAAAAAGTAAGCTGCCACCTACAGGTCGTGCGGATTATTACAGCTTCCGTAGCCCTGCTCATCAATATTAAGCTATTGCCTGTTCTGTTCTGATTGCCAGAGTAATCAGCCAGCATTTCAGTTAATATACAGTGTAGGTTCAGTATAAAGTTTAGGGTTGTTTTCCAATAAGAATCACACACAAACAAGACGGTGTACTTCGTTGGTTGATAGGCTGCTTCGGTTGGTGACCTAATAATTCTGATGCATAATTTAAGGTTTCTTGAAAACCTATCTAGACAATTGTGTGTATCTCACTGGAAAGTGTAATCTCTTTGATAGAACCAAGGTCAAAACAATCTTTACTTTACAAAAAAAAAATTCCTATATTCTTTTGGTTTTACCCTTTGGTTGACATATTGGAAATAAACGAATGCAGTAATTTTTGTTACTGTTTAGAAAGTCAAGTCATAAGAACCAATAGTCCTGTAAAGCAGGGACTGTCCTTTGCTGTTATCCCCTTAACTGTCATCACAGGAAACATGACAGCTGCACTCCAGGCGGCTCTGAAAAACCCCCCCATCAACACAAAGAGTCAGGCGGTTAAGGTGAGTCGCAGGCCACAGCATTAGTCTCGGTGGTGTCCCACTGTTTGTGTTGAAGTCCTCGACACAAGAGTTGACAACGTGAAATCACCTTGGTTTGTTTTGTTCCTTTTGTTTTGTTTTGGGAGATTGGGTCTCGGTATAGAACCTGGCTAGCCTGGAACTCACAGAGATCTCCTGCCTCCACTGGGATTAAAGGCATATGCCACCACATCCAGTTTAAAAGGAGACTCTTGATAAGTAAAGAGATCTTATGAAAAATAGCATTGAAATGTAGAGTAAGGATAATGCTGTATGGAACACGGTCAGTTTAAAGGATGGAGACATCGGTTCTGTTGATTATGTTAGTTACGTTAATATTAGATATTGTGTTCATTATGTCAGTATTAAATATATAGATTAATTAAATATGTTGATATTAAATATTATAGAAAACAAAGGCATGAGAGCATAAAAAGATGATCACCATGCTACTTCCTTGGTCGGTTACTATCTTTGGTATAGCAGCATACTTAAGAGTTTCTACAAGAGTTTGTATTCTTTTTTTCTTTTTTTTTTTTTTTGGTTTTTCAAGACAGGGTTTCTCTGTGTAGCTTTGCGCCTTTCCTGGAACTCACTTGGTAGCCCAGGCTGGCCTCAGACTCACAGAGATCCGCCTGCCTCTGCCTCCCGAGTGCTGGGATTAAAGGCGTGCGCCACCACCGCCCGGCAAGAGTTTGTATTAAAAAAAAAAGAATCTTGCCGGGCGGTGGTGGCGCACGCCTTTAATCCCAGCACTCGGGAGGCAGAGCCAGGCGGATCTCTGTGAGTTCGAGGCCAGCCTGGTCTACAAAGTGAGTTCCAGAAAGGGCGCAAAACTACACAGAGAAACCCTGTCTCGAAAAACCAAAAAAAAAAAAAAAAAAAAAAAGAATCTTGCAATTCAGCTGTGTAGCTATGTACATGAACTTTTTTCCTTAGCAATAAGACTATTTCTAAAGCATTTTAACTGCAGTACACCATTATGCAACATTTTATATACACCCAATCCCTTTTATTGTATATTAGATTGCCTAGTTTTTCCTGCTAAAATGAATAGTCTTAGGTAAATCTTCCCCCGCCCCCCAGAGCTGAGGACCAAACCCAGGGCCTTGTGCTTACTAGGCAAGCGCTCTACCACTGAGCTAAATCCCCAACCCCTACATCTTAATTTTTTTCTGTCAGTAAAATTCCCAGGAGATAAATGCTAGATGAAAATCACATTTTTAAGGCTTTTGCTACACAAAGTATCGCCAGATCCCTTAGAAGAGTTTTGCAGTTTACACCCCTGCATCAATCCTCTACTGATTCTTGCAGAACTACTTAGCTGTTGATTGTTTAAAATGCAGGCTAACCAAAGCCCTGTGGTCCGTAGGTCTACCCCTCGGGGACTCAAGAACTTTAATTGAATAGTGGTTAGGGGTAAATGTGTACTAATTATCAAGGCAACAAAACTTTGTATAGGGGAAATTTTTCTTTGCTTTTTAAAAGGTTTTAGGAACATCATTAAAATTTGTTTTACCCCTTATGTGTCTTTTTTTTTTAATGACAGCTTGTGGGTGGGAGGTTATAGCTCTAGATACTAAGATATTTTCTAAATAGAGAAATTGCCATCTTTAAACTGAAGATAATATTGGTGGTAGAAATAGTCTGTAAAATCCTGCCCATTGGAATGCTGATGCTACCACTCTGTGCTGAACAGAAGGAGAAATGAATTGAAAGGGTCCATGACGTGTTCCCCCTGCTTAGACGATGCATAAGGAGATAACTTTGTTTCTAGAGCAGGCTTTACCAGAGGGAAAGTTTAGAGATGAGCATAGATGGACCTCATGTCTGTAACTAGGAAACTTAAAAAAGTTTTTTAATGGTTTTAAACAGGAGATTTTAAGAAAATACCACTTTTGAAAGATAGTACAAGATAGAATTGTATGAATCAGTTTCTTTCTTTGGTTAGTAGTTTTTTAAAACCAAGAAGTAAAATTTAAATGTTATAATAAATTATTAAATTTTCCCATCAGTCTGTTAGTAAATCCCCAGTTCTACCTCTGGTTCTATCAAGACTGTGTTCCAGAGCCCTTAATCCCAGCACTTGGGAGGCAGAGGCAGGCAGATATCTGAGTTCAAGGCCAGCCTGGTCTGTATAGTGAGTTCCGGGACAGCCAGGGCCACACAGTAAGACCCTGTCTCAAAAACAACAAACAAAATGGTCTCCTTCTGAGCACCTCTGCTGTCATGGCAACCAGAGCCACCCCGTGTGCTTAGAACTGCACCTCACGAGCATCCTGCTTCTGTCTTCCTCTGCCATCGATGCTGTTCTCAGCAGAGATGCCAAAATAGTCTTCAGATGAGAGTCAGATCGTGTCTCTGCTCTCCACACTCTCCACTGTC